AGGGGACACTGCCCTTAGGGTATCTGCACTTACTCCTCAGCCTTGTGTAGGGAGGGGGAATCCCAGGGCACCCTGGCTCTCCAGGGTCACTGAGGGGCTGAGCCTGGCCCCTGGTGACCACAGCTGCACAGGACTGGGGAGGCTTTTTCTGGTACTCTGTGAGGTAGACATGTGCGTGGAGGAAACGTCTCAGATGCACTCCTGGTCCCCCACCTCTGGACACCCCACTTGGAAAGTGCATCAGGACAGAACTCAGAGTGCATGCGTGGTCAAGTACGTGGTGCTACAGACACGCGGCACTCGGGTTTGACCTCTGACAAAATGAAGGATTTAATAGAAACACTGGAGTGTGATTCTCGCTGTAACAAGCTATGTGGAGTGGAGAGCAATAGAAAAGGCGGGGGCACAGGACAGCGGAAGGGTTAGTGCAAGAGAGGCGGCCCTGAGCCTCTGGACGTCTCCAGAGGAAAATCTTCTTCATCCAAGTTGGCCCCTGGGTCAAGGACTGAGCCCGATGTGACAACAGCCGAGAAAGAACGGCCCCTCCCCGTCCCCACTGGGCACTGTCCAGTCTGAGGGCTCAGGGCCGGGGGCCGGGCGGGGCCTTGAGCTGGGAGTCAGCCCGGTCAGCAGATCGGTGTCTGGGCATCATCCACCAGCAGCCCTTTGCTCAGGAGGAAGGCGTCCTGCCTGGGGTCCCGGCCCAGGAAGAGCTTCAACATGACGCTGGCGTCCTGGGAGCCACCTGGTCTTAAGATGCAGCTCCGGTAGTCCTTGCCCACCTGTGGGGGGGTGGAGCGGGGGTCAGTGGGAATGAGGCTGGGATCAGGGTCCCCAAGAACGTTGGCGGGGTGTGTGGGGGCAGTCAGTGAGTGTGTGGACACGGGTCGGAGATTCCAGCCCAGATCTCAGGGAGGGACAGAGGGCAGGCGAAGGGCCAGGTCAGCAGGGAGGTCAGAGCTGCCCCTCTACTCAATCCCTGTGACTCTGGATGAGGGAACTCCACTGATCCGGGGACCTCAGCACAGCCCCACACGTGGCACGGGCCAGTGTGTCCCCCTCTCACATACACAGTGGCTACACTCAGACCCCAGGCTGTAGATGATTACCCTCCATTACAGACATGGCCACACCGGCCACGCTGGGCGCTAATGCCTTCCCTCCGGCAGAGCGGGCAGCGGCTCACCTTCCCATTGAGGACCCCCTCTTGCTTGAAGCGAGTGTGGAACATATCCATGGAGAAGACTTCACTCCATAGGTAGCCGTAGTACTGGGCGTCGTAGCCTCCTGCCAGGTGGCCGAAGGTGGCCGGCATGTTGGTACCTGCAGGGGACACTAGGTGAGGCCCATGCTCCTGCTGGTCCCACCTGCCCTGCCCAACACCCTCCCTGCCTGAGGGAGGGCAGAAGGTTCTAGGCTGACGGTCTGACGGGGCGGGAAAGCAGCCTTTGCCCACCATGGGGTTAAGCAGAGTTTACCTCGCAGCATTTGAACCCCCAGCTCTAGCTGCCACAGTGCCCAGAGGTTGCTATGATTACACGGGTTTCTGAGAGATTTTCCTACACCACCACATGTACAACACCCCCAATTATCCTGGTGTGTACACATGCACCTGAGTTTGCACATATGTGGGCTTGTGCACATGTCTGCACAAACGAAGGGTGAAAGGCACCGAGATGCTACAGCGCTGTTTCCTGGCTACACCGCTCATCCGGGCGTATTGTACAGGTTTTTGGGTCTTTCTTCTAACAAATCACATAGCACTTTCGGAATTGAGGAGAAAATGGAATCTTTAAAGCCAAGGCTCACAGAGCCTGGGAGCTCTGAGGACCCAGCAGAGGGTGTCAGGGAAATCACCCCACCCTCACCCCCGTGAAGCACTCCGGGCACACACTAGGCCCCACGAGCTGGGACCCCTGCACCGATGCCAAGCAGACACGTGCACAGCGTGGTGTGGGAGGCTGGGCTGTGAAAATGGATTGTCACCACGCTGTCCTCCACTCCACACCAGAACCTCCCAGATGGGACAGCCACAAGTGTCCCTGGGGGCAGAAGTGGCCCCGGGTGAGGACCCTGCACTGGATGGAGGCATCTCACAGCAGGTATCCCCTGCCCCCCGACCCTGCTCAGAGCCGGGGGGAGCAGATGGGCACACCCAGACACAGGCCAAAGGCTCGGGATCAGACCTGTGACCTCTAACTGCTCTCCATCTTCTCCACAGGCCCCTGGTCCTCTGAATTGCGGCTCCAGCCCACGGGCCTACCTGGCGTGGCTGGGACCCCCAGGATCTCCTGGCAGAGCCGGGCGTACTCCTCAGCAGGGTCGACACCTTTCTGAGTGTGCAGGGCCTGGTCCACCTTGGCCAGGACGATCTGGCGTAAGTTGAAGAGACCTACGGGGGAGTGGGAGGTTCTAAAAGGAGGTGGAGGGGCCCACGGCCCCTCCTCCTAGGTCCCCTGCAGCCCTTTGCTCTGCACTGGGCTCACGGTGGACAGCAGGCTGGAGCAAAAAGTCCAGGTACTGCCCCATTCCGGCCGTGTCCTCAGCACTGTCCACCCTGGCCCTGGGCGCACGCACCGGTGTTAGCCTGGCGGGATTCGATGAGCTTGTCAAGCAGTGCAGGAGGCAGGGCGCCGCCCGTGCGGTAGTGCTGGGACATGCGCAGCAGCGGCTCTCGTTCCCACACCCAGTTCTCCAGCATCTGCGAGGGCGCCTCCACGAAGTCCCGCTCCACGTGTGTGCCACTGAACATGGCGAACTCGGCCTGCGGGTGCGCACTCCGGTTAACCCCGCTGCTTGCCTCAAGCAGCCCTGGGCCCGCAGACTACAGCACACACACACACACAAACACACAAGGTCCCCGTGGATGTGGCTGACCCCAAAAGGGAAGATAGTCGAGCCTGGGTGGGATGTGGGACTGTGAGAACGGACGCTGCCCATCGGTAACCAGGGACCAGAGAACTCACTGGGCATCAGGACGTCCCACCCGCTTGTGGACGTCCTAAATCACAAGGCCCCTGCCCCAGCCACTCTGGAGAGCACAGCCCACCTGGGAACAGAGCTGGTGCATGACGTGCCCGAACTCGTGGAAGTAGGTCTCCACCTCGTCGTGTTGCAGCAGGGACGGGGTGTCCGGCGTGGGCTTGGTGAAGTTGGCCACCATGGCCGCGATGGAGATCTGGCGGCTCCCGTCCGGCCGCAGGCAGCCGGGTTGCAGGCCAAAGCAGGCCGCGTGCCCGTACTTCCCTTCCCTGGGGCGGGGAGACGAGTCAGGGGGCTTCGTCATGCGCCCTATGGGCCACACAACCATGGGACACCTGCACAGGGCTGGGTGGAGAGCGGGGGATGACCCACATCCTAGCGTGTTTCCTCCTCTGCGTCCTGAAGTGGGCAGACTGGACGGTCCTGGGCCCGTTTTTAGTTGAGGCACTCTGGCATGTTCATGGTCCCACCCACTCCTCCCCAGAAAACACCAGACTTCGGCTCACAGCTCTGATGCGGTCTGGCCTGTGCCTCGGTGACCAAGCAGCATGGGCACGGTTTACTGAGCACCCAGATGTGTCCCCTCCAATCCCCACGATGGCTACACCACATGTACAGTTGCCCCCACCCCCGGCCCGACAGCAGAAGGGGAGCGCGCGGCTCCAGGCTGTGCCCCCACAACACACGCACCGAGGATACAGGTCCAGGTAGAACTTGCCGATCACCTGGCCCGAGGCTGAGTCACGCACAGCGTACAGCACCACGTCCTCGTGCCACACGGGTGCGCCCTCCTCGCGGTCAAAGGTGAGCCCCAGCAGCTCCTGGTAGATTCCCAGCAGCCCCTGGGTGACCACGTGCATGGGGAAGTATTCCTTCAGCAGGTTCTGGTCCACGCTGTAGCGGGTCTCCTCCACCTGGTTCATGTAGTAGCGCATGTCCCAGGCATTGATACGTTCGTCGAACGGCAGCCCCCGCCGCTCACACTCGGCCTTCTTCAACTCCAGGATCACTGCTCGCTCCTGCTCCCCGAGGGGCTTCAGCTTCTGGGCCAGTTCGTCTGCGAGGGGCAGGAGACCAGAAGCTACCACCGTAGCATGGGGCGGATCCGAGGCCCAGGCAGCCAGCCGCAGAGCCCCCCACACAAGCCCATCATCAGTGTGGACTTTGTCCCGGTGGGCTGTGACAAGGTGGGCTCACCGGCTGTGTGTCACCAGACAGTGAAAGCTGCCCCAAATGGAGGACTCGCTGAACACTCGGGGCCTCACAGCGCCCCCTACCACAGCCCCAGCACCTAACCTCCAGGGGTGGCGGAGAACTCTGGGGGAAGGCGGGAAGTGAGGGGCGCTGGGGCTGGGGGCCTTACCTAGGAAGGTGGCCACCACCTGGCTGGTCTTGGCCATGTTCATCTCCAGGACGTAGTCGGCATGCGTGCTGAAGCCGAGCAGGCTGGATTTCTGCTCCCGCAGGGCCACCAGCTCCTTGAGAATGGCGTAGTTTTCCTGGAGCAGAGAGAGCGCCCGTTGGCACAGGGGTCTCCGTTCTCCCTGGCCACGACTGCAAATGGAGTCCAGCATGAGACAAGGAGCAGAGTAAGGTGTCAGGTGGGGATGAGGGGCCACTGAGGAAGCAGAGGATCCGGGCAGACTTGGAAACAGTGAGCGCACCATGAGGTTCAAACCCCCAGAGGCTCTGAGGGAGAAAGACCTCACAATCTGCTCCCATAAAGATGACAGCCTGGGAAACTCTATGGGGCAGTTCTACTCTGTTACACCAGGGGGCGCTGTGAGTGGATGATCTATAAGAGTATATCCGAGTATGTTGTTGTTGTTGTTAAGTGCCTTCGAGTCGGTTCCGACCCATAGCGACCCTGTACAGGGTTTCCGAGGGTGTAAATCTTTACGGGAGTAGA